ATATATATATATATATATATATATATATATATATATATATATATTGCTTTCAGAGAAGAAGGGAGAGGGAGAAAGAGATTGAAACACCAATGAGAGAGAATCATTAATCAGTTGTCTCCTGCACACCCCCTACTGGGGATTGAGCCCGCCACCTGGGCATATGCCCCAACCAGGAATCAACTGTGACCTCCTGGTTCATAGGTCAATGGTCAACCACTGAGCCACACCAGCCGGGCCCTGTGATTTTCAAAGATAAAAATTAAACCTCCTTTATGTGTAGGAAACAAAAGGAATGAAGGGAAATACTAAGGCCTGAAAGTTATTATAAGTTGATAACTGAGTATGTCAAGAATAAGTCAATTCCATCATAAATTAAGTTTTCTGCTTACCTAAGCCAAATAGCTGGCCTTGGTCTAAAGATCTCTTAGAGCAGGATCTGGAAGAAACACTGGGGTCGGGGGATTTCATGCCTGTCTTTAGAACGGTCCAGAGGGGAGACAGCTCAGACCACTACTGTAGGAAAGCAAATAGCCAAAGTGAACAAAAAAGATGAATTTTTACTATTTCATAGTCATTAGACAGTCCTATAACTTATCTTCCCACAGAAATTGGACACCACGCAGAAATCTGTTGTGGTGTCTGTAATTTGTTCCATCTATCTCTATCTTTTCCTTTTCAGTTAGTATTGGAAATAATCCTGCACCAACCAGAAATCCTCACGTGTTCATGGATTGCGGGGTGTGGGTTGAACTCTAACCTCTCCCTGTACGTTCATGAACTATCCACAAGCCCACTGATTTCTATCATTGATCTCCTTGGCTCAGTCACTGTTCTACCTCTTGTACATTTATGAGGCAAATTGTACAGGCTTCCAACACCCTCTTCTTCTCTTGTAACTCTTGAAACAAATGATTTATAACATTATTTGTTTAATGTCTGTCTTCTTATATTCTCTCTGAGGACAGAGACCTGGTCCAGTTATGTTCACCTCTGAATTCTCAGCTCTTAGGAGGGTGCCTGATACAACATAGGGGTTCAATCAATATTGTTGGATGGATTTCTTTCACTGACCATACAGACTTGCAGACCTACTGGAAGAGAACCAAGAAGAGCTGGCAACCATTGAAGCCCTCGATTCTGGCGCAGTCTACACCTTGGCTCTCAAGACTCACATTGGAATGTCTGTGCAAACATTCAGATATTTTGCTGGCTGGTGCGACAAAATTCAGGTGAGCGCAGATGTTGTCTCCGTATCATTCCGGAAGGAAAATGGATGGACACTGTGTAAGAGCCACCCCTTATGTAGATTTTTGTCTCACTTTCAAGGAGTCCAAAGGCAGGCAATCAGGTCTAGTATGTGAGATGAAGGTCCCTTTTTTCTATGCCGGGCCATCCTTAGGACCCTGTGATCTTCACTCTTGGGGTTGTCTCATGGTCTCATGATAGTTACTGCAGCACCAGCCATTTCAGCAACATTCTGAGCAGGCAGAAGTGGGAGGAACAGAAAAACAGCACTTGCTTGAGCTGTGCTCTTTCCCCTCTCAATGCCTTGTGCTTACATCTTCCATTGACCATCCCTGTCCGCTATGAAAACTGGGCAAGTTTCTTATCTGAGCATATCGCCATCCCCATCATTACTAAGGAAAAAGGGGATAATGAATATTGGGCAGGCAATTAACATTCTCTACCATGCCAAGAAATTGGAATGGAGGTGAAAAAATCAGAATTACGTTTATTCTCCCATGCCTGGATTCTTTCAAGAAATGAATAGAAGTTCCTTTCATGATGTGGATGTATTTCTTATCAACTGAACACTGTCTTATTCCTGTAAGCTAGGCAAAACAAGAGAGGCAGACAGGAAATGGGTTCTTCGAGATTACAGGGAACAAATGTTAAACCACCTATGATATCCTCAAGTCTCTCATCTATTCCGACACAGGTTAAATTTACTCATTTCAAAGAGTAAAACAAGCATCCACCTCTTTTGTGTCTTAGGGTTCTACCATCCCTATCAACCAGGCCCGTCCAAATCGCAACCTGACCTTCACCAAGAAGGAGCCACTTGGGTAAGGCAAGGGAAGCAAAGCGTCTCTGAGTGACTTATGCTGCTTCAAGACAACCAAGGATGTGGGCTTTCTTCCTCCGCAGTGTCTGTGCCATTATCATCCCCTGGAATTACCCGCTGATGATGCTGGCGTGGAAGAGTGCCGCCTGTCTCGCAGCAGGCAACACCTTAGTGCTCAAGCCAGCGCAGGTAAGGCGCCAGGGGCTGGCTGCCACAGCCCCTCCTCTGCCGTCTACTTAACATCAGAGACATGCATTCTTTGTACCAGTCTTGCAACTTTGCTGTAATTACGTCAAAAGAAAAGAAAAACAATAAAATGAGCCCTAGTGCAGCCATAGGTGGAAAACTCGGGACTGATCTAAGGGCCAGGACAGAGTCTGAAGAAGGTCATTGCTGTCTGGTTCTGCTCAGGTCACGCCCTTGACTGCTTTGAAGTTTGCAGAGCTCTCTGTTAAGGCTGGCTTTCCCAAGGGGGTAATCAACATCATTCCGGGCTCAGGTAAGCCACCAAAAGACCCTTTTCACTCTAGTTAATGAATGGTACAGGGGTAGCTGAGTGGCTGTTTTCCCACTGGAGTCTGTCCTGGATTATAACTATATTAAACCTAAACACTGTTTACCGAACAGTTAACTTAAGGATAAATATACTGACCATGCCTTAAAGTCTTAAAATGGAAACATAATGGTGCATGAGTAAGGTGGTGGGGGTGGGAGGGCGGGCGGCAGAAATAGTACAGCATTGTAAAACTACCCTAAGGTGGCCCATTTCAATTTTTAAAAACTATTTTGGAAGTTTGCAAACAACAACAAGGCTTTCCCATCTTATTTATTTATTTATTTATTTTGGCAGGGGAGGGGGGATGGCAATTGCATGGAGGACATTATTTAGATTTTTGTCAGTTTATAATTAATACAGAAAATGTAAAACTAAGATTCAAATGAGAGTTTAGAAATCTCCTTCAGTGAATTCAAAGCCACCCTGGCATCAGAACGTGACTAATGTTTGAAATCACGTTTGATCCCTAATCCTACAGGTGGCGTGGCAGGACAACGCCTCTCTGAACATCCTGACATCCGCAAACTTGGTTTCACTGGTTCCACTCCTATTGGCAAACAGATCATGAGGAGGTATTGGTTTCAATATGTCGGTTTGTTGTAGATGCTGCCAAACCAGGTTTTTGGTTTAGCGTTTGCTTCTTGGAAGAGGGTGCTTTGGGAGGAAGAAAAATCATATCAGATTTAGAAGAGAAATCTACTTATCGCTGCAGGGCATTGGCCTGTGTGAGTATAATAAAATACCTTCCAAAGTGGAAAAGCCCACAGTCAATAAACTAGAGCCATAGTGAAATTCTACACCCGACTGGCAGCTTTAACAATCCAGCACAAAATATTTTCTGTACTAGATCTGTGGCCCAAATTGTTTTTCGAGCATAAGTAAGAAACCAAAAAGACATATAAATGACAAATCTGGATGATTAATAAAATAAATTTCTAACAAGCAGTAACACTGTTTTTTTTTTAAAAAAATTACAAATAATCTCCCGGGCTAGTGTGGCTCGATTGCTTGAGTATCATCTTATGCTGGCTCCATTCCGGGTCAGGGCACATACCCAGGTTGTGGGTTTGATCCCCAGTCCTTGGTCCAGGTGTATGCAGGAGGAAATCACTTGATGTTTCTCTTTCATATTGATATTTCTCTCTCGCTCGCTCTCCCCCTCCCTTCTTCTTTCTCTAACAAAAATCAATAAAAACATATTTTTAAAAATTAAAAATAAAATTTTCAAATAATCTGCCCAGCCAGTGTAGCTCAGTGGTTGAGTATCAACCTAGGAACCAGGAGGTCACTGTTCAATTCCTGGTCAGGGCACATGCCCGGGTTTCGGGCTCGATCCCCAGTAGGGGGTGTGCAGGAGGCAGCCAGTTGATGATTTGCTCTCCTCCTCAATGTGTCCATCTCTCCCTTTCCATTCCTCTATCTGAAATCAATAAAAACATTTAAAAAAAATTTTTAATTGCAATTAATTTAAATGTTAAAAATAAAGCAATGGTTAAAGGAAGTCAACATAACAGAATACTGTGCACTCATGTTCATGGAACATTTTAATAACAGTGAGAAGTGTTGTTAAAATGGTAAATGGAAAGGAAAATAAGCTATAAATTGTATATATTGGGTGATTCCCAACTATGTTAAATAAGGCAAAGGCTATGGTTGGGCACAGACCAGAAAAAACTATATCAAAATGGTTAAAAAGAAAAAAAAGTAATTGAGCCATGGAATTGATTTCTTTCCCTTCTTTCTGCATTTCTTTAAAATTTAAAAATGTTTTAAATAGTGCTTCTGCAAGAAAGGGAAAATAAACAATTTACTTCTAAAAATCTATATTTATATATTTTTTTCCAATGCTCCAGTAATCTGGTTTGAGGCTAAATTCCTTGCCAGGTCTTTATGTAACCAAAATTAGTGTACCTAAATAATCTGAATTTACCTATAAGGATCGCTAGTCATTTTCCACAGAATTTAAAACAAAAAGTTCATTATGGAAAATTTCTCATATATTCAAAGCACACGAATAGGATAATGAACTTCCACGTGCTCAACACCCAGCTTCAACAATTATCACCATTCAACCATTCATGCTTTGTCTTTGCATAAGTTTCTGAATGTTTCTGAGGCTCAATTATGTTTTCCATGTCAAGTGGTAATTTATGGTGGAAGGAGAGAGAGAGAGAGAGAGAGAGAGAGAGAGAGAGAGAGGCTAAACGCTTATTTCCCATTTATTTTCCTCTAGTGCTGCGAGCAACTTAAAGAAAGTTTCTCTTGAACTTG